ATATATATATATATATATATATATATATATATATTCAAATTGATTTGAGTGCTTTGATCTGCTGTTGATACGGATTTTGGAAGCCACACAGACATCCGAGTACACATATAAACAAAACCAAAATCCCAAACACATACACGAGTACACATGAGCACATATTTGAAGATGGCAACTGCAAAAGCGGAAACAAATCGAAACCAATTGTTATTCGCAGTAAATCAAAAAAAAGGGAAAAAAAAGAGAAAAAAATTGAAAGAAAATTTCTTTTTTGACACTAATATTGATATGCTATATATGCATAAATTTACTTATAATAATTAGTTTTCAGTTGTTTTTTCTTTTTTTTTCGCTGATCCTTTCTTTTTTTTTGCTTCCTTTTTTCCTCAAAATTTTATTATGCCATTTCAGTATCTGGCAGCAAATACTTCTGACCTACTAGAATTGAAAAAAAAATAGCTGTTTGAAAATGCCTTCTCCCTCTGTAATCTTGTTCTCTTTTCCTTTCTTCATTTTCTTTTGTGTCCCCGACAACAATGAGAGAAAAAATCAGATAGATAAATAATTAAATTAATATATAGTTGAAAAAATGTAACATCAAATCATATTCTTCGCCTCGTTCTCCTTTTTGTCTTTCTACAAAATAACTAATGACCAAAAAGAATTTATTTTCAGATCAAGATTTCCTTTTGTTTCTCCTTCTGTAAACTACATTCAACTAGAACTTATATATATACAAAAATAAGGTAAACAGTTGAAAAACCCAAAAGACAACAACTGAAGGTGGGTACATTAATCCATTTGCCGCTTTTCCTGTTTTAGAACAAATATGGGCCAAATTTTGCTGCTGAGTGCAAAACAGCGCAAAGCTCATTGACAAATTTGTTGCTACCGATTAATTTGACTTACATTACAGAGGTTGAAAAAATTCGTTTTTCCCTTTTTATCTTTTCTTTTTCTAATAATAACTGACTGCTTTTGGATACATGACTAGTTGCAAAAGAAAAAAAAGAAAAACAGAAAACGAAGAAACCAAAAGACCAAAACGATAAAAAAAAGAAACTCATCTAAATATTAAGTAGATTTTTTTCCTCTCTTTTCCCCTTTTCTATTTCATCACTAATTTCCAATAATTTCCCTTTAAACAGACACATACAAAAAAAAAAAATTTTTTTCCCCTTCCTCCTTAAAACGATCAGATTACTCAAGCAACAACAATTCCCAGATAACTTTTTTTTTTTCTTTCTGCACACTATATCTGGTTGGAAAAAAGTAACACCAGTAATTACGATGAATAAGTGGCTAGGTAAACAGAATATGGAATGCAAGAATGAAGACCTGTAATAACAACTTACCGGTAATTTAAGCCGATCTTCGGTGAAAGTAACCTGTTCAGCTAATCTTAAAATATTATCAGCAATCGGTTGTAGCAGGTTTGAATATTGTAATAATTTTTTCCATTCCATTGATGGAAGGATTTGCAGAGGATACAAAAATTGCAGAAGCAGGAAGCAAAAAAAAAAAAAAACAAAAACAAAAAAATTGGAGTAAAAAACAAGGGGAGAGGAGCAAGAAAAAAAAAAAAAAAGAAAGAACAACAACAACAACAACAACAACAACAAAATCACCAAACTCAAACTTAATGTTATTCAACAAAAAACCCCTTCAAAAAAATTTTATAATTTCTTCCCTCCCCTTATCTTTCACTATCACCACCAAAACTACAACTTCTCCTTCTTTTTCTCCACCTCTTCCTTCTTATCGTTAATTTTGCTGCTGCTGTTGTTGTTGCTGTTGTTGCTGTTGTTGCTGCTGTTGCTGCTGCCGCTACCGCTTCTGTCGCTGTTGTTGTCGGTGGTATCGGTGTTCGTGGTTGTTACTGTTGCTGTTTGCTCTTATTTTGTCCAACAGTAACAGCCAAATTCGATTAGAATAGTAAGCAGTTAGTTAGTGGACGAATAATCAAATAAAACGGCGTAATAGAATTTATATATATTAAAATATATTTGAGCACAATTATACAAAAAACAACTTAGACACTACAACTCCCAGTAATACACAGACAGACACCACCACTTCTCCGTCTTTCTGGTTATCTGAAGATGAAGACGAAGACAACAACGGTGAAGAAGACGAAAGCAAAGACGAAGGACAAGAAGAAGACAAAAATGGCAAAATGCCCTAGTCGGAGGAGGATGATGCCCTAAACATCAACCCCTCCCCAACAACACTCCATACATATTCTCACAAACAGTTCTCTTCTCTCTCTTTCTCTCTTCTCCTTTCTCTCTCCCTCTCTTCTACGCTTCCCAGTTAATGTTTTTGAAAAAAAAAAAATTGAAAAAAAAAATGAAAAACGGAAAGAAAGGCGTCGTCAAAAATGTCTACATCTATATACAAATAAATAAATATAAATAATATAAATGTAAATATCATATAAATATAAATATGAACATTAAAACGAATAAATATAAATGTAAATGAATGAATAAATGAATGAATGGATGAATAAACAAATAAAAAAATAAATGATTACAGATATAAATATAAACAAATAAATAAACATATAAATACATGGACCTGCCTTTTGCTTATTGTATTTTTTAAGGTGTATTCACCCCGGTATAACATCCTTCACCATGTTTCTTTTTCCTTAATTGCCTTCTATATTTCCACCACATCATTCTCGTCCGCGTACACTACTATTATCATCTAACAACCAAACCCATCATTGCCACCAACGTCGGCATTAGAGGGACCAAACTGCTTCAGCTGTGCTCCTACCGTTTCGGCATTGTTTATTTCAACAATGCATGAATCTCTCATACTGTATTTTTGATAAGCAATAACTCTTGACTACACATGTGCGCCCATCTTTTAAAATCCGTCTTACCAAAAATCAACTACTTATGGAAAGATTTATACAAAGTAATTTACAATTTTTTAATACTGAAAACAAATTAAAGACACTTCAGATGAACTAAAAAAAAGCAAAATTTTTTCAAAACAATTTTTCAACTCTGATCTTTCTCAGTTGCTGAGAAGAAAAAGAAAAAACGAAACTCATACAGTGACACCAACCTGTTGGTAATGAAATTAAGCAAATTATTTTGGACAATGACTTATACCAATACACGTACTGCGATATCTATTAAACAATTCTACTAAAAACAGAACTATACAGAAAAACCACAAAAAATTTATATTTTTCAATGACACATCGTTGATGAACCATTTGAACATGAGAAATACGATCACAGATGCTTATTCGGGTTTAGTAAAACGCCTTACGCTTACAACCATTAATTTCTCAACAACAATGGTAATAGAAAAATTGGCATTAGGCAACAAAAAAATTGCCGTTTTCTCAAGTAGTGAAATTCTAAAAACATTAACTGAAAGTAATATTTTGTGCAGAATGTAAAAAGAAGGCTAAAAAACCAATCCCACTTGAAAAAAATAAATTTTTCTTTGTTTTATTTCTTTATTTTTTTAAAGCCTATTCATTGCTCAACCAATTTCCTTCTTAAAAACAGGAAAAAAAGAAGAGAAACGGCATAGTTAACTTCTCTCCATCTCATTTAATAAAGGCTGTAAAAGAAACAATAAGTTAAAAAGAATTCCGTTCTCAAAAGCTACCTGAGATCACTATACAAAAAATACTTGACCTAGTTCTGTATTTTTGACTTTCAATTTAAAATGCGTTTCTTTTCTTTTTTAATAAAAGACCATAGTAACTCACGAGAACAACAGATCAGTCAGTTTAGAAGATATAAAAACAGGACCAAGTTCAAATATCTTTTGCAAAGTCAAATGCAAAGTTTTTGAAATTCCTTGAAGAACTCTAAACTCATTGTTTCAAATAGCTTCCCAATAATGGTATGCTATTTCTTAACCTGATAAACAAGACCAGAAATTGAAAACTTAAATTCATTTCACCAGTCTAGATTTCATAAAAGCAGTATAACATTTCAGTACAGAGAATTTGTGGCTCACAATCACTGTTGAAGGAACAGAAAAACAAAGTCCAACTATATCAAAGCACTGCAAAGAAAATAGTCAAATTGCAGAGCCATAAACACTCAAAAGCGATTACAAATCCAAATTACCAAACAAAAAACACTAGTTTCCTTCCCAAATGCTAGAAGCGAAAATTTATTAAAAAAAAAGATTTGACTGATAAGAACTGACGCACAGAAAGAATTTAGAAATATAATTTGATTTATTTCTATGCTTGAGCGTAATGAAAGCACCGTTCTTAAGTCCAAGAAAACAAGTTTAAGGATGTATCATTCAATAGCGTTTTTATGGTTCCACCTGTAGTTACCTCTCAAATAATCAGGTATTTCACACAATGTTGGGCATGGATGTTGACCCTGAACTTCACACATGCAATGCCTCACATAATTGCTGCCAAATGAAGCTGGATTTTTTTCCTGTACTTTCTCTAAGCGTTCTCGTTTTAAAACTAATTCCGTTTTCCCGACAGTCTTGTTAATACTATCCACAATTTCTTCTCTAGTCTTGTTCTCCAAGTCAAAAAGTATTTCGCGACCATCATCTGCAACACCATACATCACATAAAGCAGGAACAAGGACATATCGTCCTCCTGGGCAACATGAAGTGCTTTAGAGTACTTTTGGCAGTTCAAATCTTCTTGCACTTGTAAATATTTGGTACACAAAAACAAACCCAAGAAGGCTAAGGCAAATGGAACGAGTGTACGATCAACAAACTTCACTAGCTGAACTTCTGGATTATTATATTGCAGCTGAGCCCAGTGCCAATACACAAATTCTCTAACACCGTTCTGGCCAGGTGTTGGTGAGCGATGAAATCCAAGAGCAAAAACCTAGCCAAATTTAACATGAAAGAAAGCTTAGAAGAAAAAAGAATACAGTATTACAGGAACAGCAACGCAAAAACCTAAGAAATAGCACCCAAGACGATGGTAAGCAAACCTTCACACTATCTCGGAAGTGTATTTTCCCTTGTTTCAGGAAGTAATATGTCCGCCTGAGCGGCGTTGATCCAATCATAAATGGCATCTTTAAGCTGTAACACAAAAGAAATTGAAAAATCAACTCAGTCTAGAGAAATAGCTTCCTTCATAATGGACACTGTGAATAGTTTCTTCAAGATAATCACTTTTGGTAAGAAATGCCAGCCAAAAGTACAGACCTGGCTTTAAAACTTGTTTTATTCAAATAAAAAGCAACAAAAAAAACAAAGGTAACAAATACTCAATGGGTTAACAAAACCAGAGCGAAGCGAGCGAAGGCAGTCCCTTCAACAACAAACAGAAGCGTATCCCCTCCGAACAAAAAAAAAAACTGATTATCAAAACAAAATGTTACGAAAAAAGCATAAGCTCCTCAGAAACGATGCACTAAATGTAAAAATGAAAAATATGCACCACTGAAGATCTAAGAAGGCTCAAAAAGCTACTATTAATTCACTTTTTCCTGTTAGGGTGAGTAAAGACTAGGATTTCGCAACAACCTCGTTGCTTTAAAGTTTTAAAACATAAGTTAATTGAGAATTTTACAAAGTCTTTTTATCCATAACTCAACATTGTTAGGGTAAACTCTCAAGTCGGTAATAACCGAAGATAAAATAATATCTGCAGCTGTTGGAACATAACATGATGCAAGAAAATCGGATGAACTGAGGGCAGTGCTTAGTAGACGGGAAACATAGTCTAACGATTTCTCGCCAGTAAGAAATTCATCCGCTAGAATAAGCCAGCGATCGGTATGCATCGCTAACAGAGCGTGGTCTTGAGAAATTGGATACAACCCTGCTACAGCTCCAAGAAGCTTCATTATCGGAATTCTACCGAGTACTGTTTCGCCATCGACTTTTGCTTCAACCACTTCAAGATCTAAATTATATTAACGTGACTAGATGCATGAAAAGCGAAGAGTTATGACATTCAGTAGTAATACCAATGCCACTTGCTGTTTAAAAAATGATGCCACTTGATACTGCCAAAAGATTTTTTAAAGGCTGCTAAACAAAGACATTAGCCAAACTTTCCGCCAATAGTTAGGAACTAGGAAATAAAAACCTTCTGCCGTAAAGTTCACTTGAACTTTGCACCGTGTTGCCGTATTACAAGACGGCAGATTGTCTCCTACAAAAGATATATTCCGTAAAGTTCCCACTTTGGCTAACTCTTTTATCCACTGATAATCCTTTTTAGAAACAGATAATATTATGTCATTAGGAACTTCAGTGATGTTAAAATTGGTGAGGAGTGGAGTAACGCATGCTCGAATAGACTGTCCGATCTCTGGAAGGACAGATTTTTCCTAAAAATATCTTTCATAAAAATTGTTAATACTTCCTCCATAAAAGCTCTTCGTGGCAAAGTAAAAAGGTAAAGCGACGTACAAAACTGAAATTATAAACTTTTACTAGATTATAGGAGAAAGGTTGTTTGGTGAGGTCCGTCTTACATAGCTTCTGCCTAGACGTCGATTTTAGATTCTCTTTGGCAACTGGGCGCTTTCCAGTTGCTGACGTTGTGTTTTTAGCAAAAGACTTATTGAGCCGATCAATAAAAGACATTAACTGCTCTATTAATTCAAGCTGTTTTTTCTCAATTTCTTCTGCCGGAGTTAACTTCATAATGGTTTCTGTCACCGCAGAATCACCCATCCCTACAAAAGCATACTTTTTCACTTATCTTTAGTCCAAAAAAAAGACGTGTTTTATTTTTCGAATAAACACGACTAGGTTTCACGAACTTCAACAATTAATTTCTTGATTTAACTATGAAAGTATCTATCAACCGAGTGTTATTGGTCACTGTACTTAAAATTACACTAGAAAAACTACCTATTTGTTTGTCCTCCCCATGATAACTGTCCACATGATACATTATCGAAGCGGGATCGACCGATAAGTTTGGATCCACTAAAGGTGAAACGGGATAAATTATTTGCGCCGGCTTCAGTTGTAACTTTTGGTCATGTGAAGTGGACGAACAGTCCATATCGCACACGGCAGTCAGCAAAACTAAAAAAGGTAAAAGTGAGTGATAAGTATTGATAAAATTGATTTAAAAACTTCTGTTTTTTTTTTGGACTGAATGAAACAGATGACAACGAAGAGACTCTAAAAAAAATATCATCAAATAAAATATAAAATAAAATTAGAAAAAAAACGAACAATTATTCTGCAATAACACATCTAAAAACATTTAGAACAACATTTAGAAACA